ATGTGTCGAGTCGAATATTTGATCGAATTGGAGAATTCGTATGTTTACGCGATTGTAAGTAGAGATTCTGACTTTCACTACCTGAACTTTGAACTAACTTAGCTTATCTATCTCATTTCATTTTTATATTTTATATATGTTTTTCTATGACTTTAATGTAAGTTGGAAATTGACTTCGGGTGTTGAGTTGAATATTTGATCGAATTTCCCTTCGGATGTTGAAGAACTCGATGTTTAAACATCGTAAGTGGAGGTTCTGCTGTATTTGTTCAGGGATTCCCACAGAATTTCGGAGCTTTTGGTATTATTTATCTCTTTTTTCATCCTCTTTCTGCTGTATTCAGCACAAACCTTCCACAGAGATGTCCTGGATGGCGAAGCGCAGGATGATGGTCCAGATCATCCCCAGAGTCATCTTCACGTTCCCGTCCACGATCTCTGCACACACAAACCAACCACAAAGCTGCAGAAGAAGAAGAAGAAGAAGAAGAGGAGGAGGGGGCGGAGCCTATTGGGGGGGGCGGGGTCTCACCTTCTGCTCCGATGGACACCAGCTTGACCCCCTTGCTGCAGATGAAGTCCAGAGCTTTGTTCACGTTGGCAATCTTATGGAAACGCATCTTCCCTTTGTCAGGTTTAGGCAGCCTCTCACCTAAAAAATAAAGAATAAATCCATCTATTTCTGAAGGTATTCGGGCCGTAAACATCCCATCAGATCCTAAACGGCAGCTAATGTTCCGGTGGTTAACCCTTTAAAGCCCGATCCGAGAATAAAACAAAACAAAAAAATTACTTTTTTTTTTGGTTTGAATTCCTTATTTGGCCTTTTAACAAAATATGTACAAAGAAAAAACAGAAATACATTTTTAATATTAATCATTTATTACAATGCGATAAGTCAAGATTATTTTTTGTGTAGTCTTCTGCCCCCTGTTATCAGGTGTATCTGATTGTGTAAAATAAGATTTTGAACAAAGTTTTTACCATTAAATTAAGCAAAAGGTGTCAGACGCAAAACATTTAAGAAACCGTATGAATCAGATATGATACATTTGGCATTACAGGGTTAAATGTAAGATAAATAAGCCCAATAATGTGAGACTTTTGCGGTGTTTGTGAGGTAAATACGAGGTGTGTGCGTCCACCTGATATGACCTCCAGCAGCAGCATGAGTTTGAGGCCATTTCTGAAGTCCTCTTCAATGTTCTCAATCTGTGTCCCGGCTTTCCTCAAGTGGGAGTTACACCAGGCTGTGAAGGTCTGGGGGGGGGGGACAGGGCAGGTAAAGGGTTAATAACTGTCCAGAAACAGGCCAAACCAGGTTTACCGAGGAGCTTTAACCCTCCTAAAACATCCCAGATTAAGACTCTGTCTGTTTGGATCCAGAGGGAAGCAGATTTACTCTGTTTTGGGAACTTTTGAGGAAAAATATACACGTTTTTCCCGAAGTACAGCTCAGTTTGAAGCAAAATGGCTCATCGGTTATGAGAGGAAAACGTCAGAAATCCCAAAGATTTGCTTAATCGGTGATTAAAGACGAGTTTATGGAGCCAGAAATGAAGGAAAACAAGGAAAAATGAGGAAAACGGAAGCAGATCTACTCTGTTTTGGGAACTTTTGAGGAAAAATATACACGTTTTTCCAGAAGAAAAGCTCGGTTTGAAGCAAAATGGCTCATCGGTTATGAGAGGAAAAAGTCATAAATCCCAAAGATTTGCTTCATCTGCGATTAAAGACGAGTTTATGGAGCCAGAAATGAAGGAAAAATTAGAAAAAACGTCAGAAATCCTAAAGATTTTCTTCATCAGTGATTAAAGACGCGTTTACGACTGAGTTTATGGAGCCAGAAATGACCAATTTTGAGCAGAAAAAGGAATAAAACACCAATAAATCTATGAGGAACGCTGACATTGATCTGATCCGTGAAGGATTCCTGAGAATTACAGGAACTCTGAGAAAGCTCAGTTTCAAACTGAGCGGAGGAAAAAGGATCTGGGCTCAGAAAGGGGTTTAAATCTGGAGGTTTGGAGCTCAAAGTCTCCATTTTAGGATAATTAAAAGCATCCAGACTAAGGAATTATGTATCAGACTGACCTCCAT